GACCTAGAAAAAAGTATCAAGAAGATTGAGAAAACAACCATGAAAAATGAGGATAATATACGAGGAATACTGGATACCATCAAGCGCCCCAACATCTGGGTAATTGGGATTCCAGAAGAGGAAGAAAATAATAAGGGCCTAGAAGATTTATTCCATGAAATTCTGGAATAAAACTTTCCAAACCTAGAAAGGCATTCAAATATCCAGACTCAAGAAATACAGAGGACCCCAAGTAGAATCAACCCAAGAAGATCCTCTCCAAAGCACATCATAGCCAGACTGGCAAAAACAACAGACAAAGACAAGATACTAAAGTTGGCAAGAGGGAAACATCAAATTACTTACAAAGGTCACCCCATCAGGCTAACATCGGATCTCTCGGCAGAAACAATGCGGGCAAGAAAAGATGGGGAAGCATAGTCAAAGTGTTGAGTGAAAAACAATTTCAACCAAGAATACTATACCCAGCAAAATTATTTTTCATACAGGAAAAAAAAAGATAAAAAACATTCTCGAATAAACAAAATTTGAAGGAATTTACCAACTCCAGACCAGCTCTTCAAGAGGTTCTGAAGGGAGTACTTTACCAGGAAAACTAAAAATTCAGAAAGACAGTTATACGAAAACAAAAGGCAACCAAGAAAATGGCTCACTTAATGATAGGATCAGGTACGGAAATATCGATAATTACATTGAATGTCAATGGATTAAATTCTCCAATTAAGAGACATACACTGGCTGAAAGGATAAAAAAAAAAAAAAACAGAAACCCCCTATCTGTTGCCTACAAGAAACTCACCTTATGGATAAAGACATACATAGACTAAAAATAAAGGGCTGGAAAAAGATATTTTTTGCACATGGAAATCAAAAAAAGGGCTGGTGTAGCGATAATGATCTCCGACAAAATAGATTTAAAGACAAAGACTGTAAGAAGAGACAAAGGAGGGCATTATATAATAGGGAATGGGGTAATCCAGCAAGAAGACATAACTCTTATAAATATCTATGTACCCAACTCAGGTGCACCTAGATATGTGAAGGAAAGACTGCTGGAGCTAAAAGGAGAGATACGGAGAAATACTATAATTGTTGGAGATCTCAACACCCCATTATCTGCTTTAGACAGATATTCTGGACAGAAAATAAATAGAGAGACATAGGACTTAAATGATACTATAAATTGAATGGGCTTGACAGATATCTATAGAACTTTCCAACCTACATCCACAAAATATTCATTTTTCTCACCCCAGCATAGAACTTTTTCAAAGATTGATCATATGTTAGGACACAAATCAAGCCTTTACAGATTTAAAGGCATAGAAACTGTATCCAGCATTTTTTCTGACCATGATGGAATTAAACTCAAGATTAATTTCAAGAAACAATCCCAAAAATACACGAACACATGGAAACTGAACAACCTACTTATGAATGACTTCTTCACTACTGAAGAAATTAAGGCT